CCCCTCATTCGGAATCCACTCAACGAGCCAAACACGTCGTACCATCATATCCGAGTCAGTGGATACACAATTAACGCCCATGCACACTCGTGTACCGGTTCACACAAACACAGCCTGCACAGCAAAATCCTTTTCTACGAAGAGTCCCACACACACACACACACACACACACACACACACACACACACACACACACACACACACACACACACACACACACACTAGAGACACACACAGACAGACTGCTGGCAGAAATCAGGGATTCACCTTCCAAAACTGGTTCCTGACAGAAATCATTGGCCACCACACAAAGCCACAGGCCACATTTTATCTCTATTTATTTATTCTCCCTTCCCCCAAATAAACATACAGGTGTAGGGACGCCAACCACACACACACACACACACACACACACACACACACACACACACACACACACACACACACACACACACACACACACACACACACACACGCAAACACACCCCGACAGCAGCAGACAGCGGGATTTATAGTAGACACCCCCTGTTTCATCAGACAAGTCTGATTAGTGTGCCAGTAAAGTGCTGCATGTGTGTGTAAATCCACACACAGAAACACAAAGACCAACACACATACAATTAAAGGTCTACAATATATGAGCACATGCACACACACACAAAGCACACAAATACTGAACACACAACTAAATAAACAACTACATTGTGCATACAGACAAATATACACAAACACACATACTAAGCAAACATGTACAGTATACATACAGGCTGTTAAACAGATACCTCGCCACACACCCCCACCCAAGAACACACACACAGCCACACGCAGCAACAGAATATCATACACACAGCTAAACAAAGAGCAAGCATTTATCACTTCCTCTCATGCTTACAAACAAACACACACGACACACACCATTTCTCTGGAAATGAACGTGTAGATGGTTAGCTGTGGCCCATTTAGCCTGGCAGCTCATGTGTGGTTAACAGACATTTATGCTAATGACCTTAAAAAAGGCAGCAGTAATGTAAAGGCTCGTTAAAGGCCAAATCCTCGCTCACTCGAGACATTTTTCAGCCCATTTTCTCATTAAATTAAACTGACGACATCATTATCCACACGTTGAATTGCTATTCAACCTCACAAAGCGCACTAGCCCCAGTTTGGGCTTCTTGTTGTCACCATTACATTCAAGCTAAACATCCAGACTCCCTCAAAATAATTACCCGGGGATCTTTGAAAAAAACCCAGAAGGTTGTTTGATAAAACTGACCGCTGCGCTGGAGGTATTTCCAGAATCTTCAAAGACTCGTCTAACCATCTCTAATAAATAGTAAAAATATGGCATGAGTAAGATACCCCTCTTTTAACTAAGTCTCAAACTCTGAATGTGCTTCTTGATTTAGGCAGCCAAGATATTATATTTTCTAAAACACAAGCATTATATAAATGCACTATTGCCCACAGTACTGAATGTATGTAAGTCGCTTTGATGTAATGTAATGTTAACATGTAATATGCCGATTTGTTATGGTCTTTACTTCTTAACTGTTAAAGTGGACATATCATGCTATATCTGAAACATATATTGTAGGGCCATACCTATATAAAACATGTCTGTGAAGTTTTTTTTTCAAAATACCAAACAGATCATGCATTTTAGCCATGCCTCATTTTGCTCTATTTGCTCTTTTCCAGCCCTGTTTTTGCAAGGGCTGATTCTGCTTTTGTGGCAGACTACAGCGCCACTTACAGGCCTGGCATATGTACTACAGCGTCTCGAGCGCTTTCGAGCGGCCTTTCATTCCCCTGATAGGTGGAGAGTTGCCCATATAGGCGGAGGAACTCTTTTCTGATGTCAGAAAAATTCAAATAATAATCAGCTCCGTTGCAGACACGTTTTTAGAGATTTGGGTATGGAGGAAAAGAGAGAGGGTTGTGTTTTCTGACACTTGGTGAGTTCCCTAACACACCGGGGACACATATTCATGTGTAAAAGACGTACAAAAGTGCATTATGCATGATAGGTCCCCTTTAAGGTAAGTGTTAAACAACGTTTGGGGATTTTCAAAAATCAACAGATAGATATTTTCACATATTTCCAATGTGACACACCTCAGACCTAACACTTGAATATTACTATCACCAAAGAAATGCTCAATAATAATATTAGAACTATTATATATTTATGTCTGGATGGGGCCTCAAAAAAGATGGCGGGACAATATGAGATATTTAAATATTGAAAACTGCCATCATGTGACTGCAATATGGGCTTTTCTTTTCTTGTGATGACTTTGTACCAGTGGCGGTGCCCATTTAAAAAAAAGCTACTTTCCTCTGACGCCTACTAAAGTTTCACTTGCTTTAACATAAGAGTAACACACTTTTCCTACCTGTTTGTGCATCTCGATGTTGAGTCCATACGACATTTCATAGTACTAAAGAAAAACAAAGATCAATGTTGGGTCAAACAAACATGTAAAACACACACATAAACATAAAAACACACTCATGGTCAATGGGTCTCACCATGACATAGTGTCTCTGCATCTCAGTTTTATCACTGGCCAGTTTTTCACACTCCATTTTCAGACTGTAGGCAGAACGAAACATTAGTGTTTAAAAGGGAAAGATTACAGAAAAACACCTACAATTATATATGGATTCAAACGAGGATAGTCTAGATACATTACCTTCCATGTTTTCTCACATGAAACAAAAAAATTCAATCCAGACAAATAATCTGCATAAAACTGAGCCTGGAAGTGACTACAACATTTTAAAGTGTATTTAAAAATATGAGTGCAACAAAGAAAGATTGCTTGGATGCCACCAGTTTCCCCTGCAGACACAGACACTTACTCAGCAGGTGCAGTGCAGTAATTAATGGATCAATAAACGACCACACAAACCTCATCATATATTCTTTACAGTGTGAGGGGAGGCCCAAACTGCACCATCAACAAAAAGCAGACATATAATGAGGATCTGTTTTACAAGTGTGGTTACACAAAAGCCTAAGTCTTCCAAACGTTGTCTTTTACTGGAAAGCCTCAACAAATTACGACAGCAAGCTTTTAACCGTGTAATCTATGAGACAATGGTCAGGTATACACTCTTGCAGGAAAGGTTAGGATGCTGACGAGCCAAATACAGACAAATTGAGGCATTTCTGCACGTGACAAAATACAAAATTATAGATTCAAATGAAACGACTTTAGATATACAATGTTTTAATATGAACATTAATTTGAGCTTGATGATGATGCATTTCTGACAGTTGTTTTTATCAACGAGAAGGTTAACAAAGTGACTCAGCTAACAATCTAAATAGCGACACGTTTCTTTTTACACAATATACATTTCAAAAAGCTTTTCTAGATATTTCAAACTATATTACATGTGACAGGGGTTTAAGCTCAAAGAACGTTTCTTTACTTTCTTCTAAATGAATCCTGACTTCCATAAAAGGAGAGTACTCAGAAGAAAAATTACGATTGCTATTCAGCTTGTACATATGACCAACTCTTTATTTGTTTTATTACCAAATTGTCTCTCTGCTATTTGAATTTCATGCATTTGCAGTTTGATCACAGTTTAACTCATGGAGCCAGCACTATTCTTGTTTCAGCTCATTCAGCCCAAGCATTGGTCAGCGCTGGTTCATCTCACCAGGTGATTGGGCAATAATTACAAAGAGGCCAGAAGTGGGCGATTATTATGCATTGGTATCAAGCGTATGGCTCTGCCTCCAAGCAATGTATTTCACACTTCATCATGTTGGGTAAAAAAGTATTTCACACCACTTGCGTTCGCAGAGCAAGACGTGCATACAGAGGTTGATGGGCTGTACCATGGTTACTCTGCAGTAATAGATGGAGCAAATGTCAAATGTGTCCCCATGTTGGATTGAGGGTTGGAAGACAATCCTTTCATGGGATCCCCAAATGGTTATTTACCTCAAACTAGAATGGTTTATTCCTCAATCAAATTAAGTTTTCTGTCTTGTAATTCATGTCGTTGCGTCATGCATTTCCCAAAACCTTTTGGTCACACTGTGATTCATACATGCCTGGTACAAAGGAGGTTGACATCACAGAAGTGACCATGCTCATTACAATATTGCATCCACAATAGTTGCATAGACCCATAACAACATATTGAGCTCAATACAAAGTTAGAATGCTCCATGTGTATTTTTCCTAACTTTTGGAGGATGAGCATATTTTTCAATGACAAGTTCCATCCAAACTCTCACCTGTGATACTGGGCTTGCAGGAAGTGGAACTCCTCCTTGATCCGGTCGCAGGACTCGGTGACGGTGAACTTTAACGGCTGTCCCGGCTGGTGGGGGACCTCGACCCAAACCAAATGGCATATGGAGGGGAGGAGAGAGAGGAAGAACTGAGCCAACTTAGTTCAGTGTGACGACACACACACACACACACACGCTCACACACACACACACACACACACACACACACACACACACACACACACACACACACACACACACACACACACACACACACAGGCAAAACTGGATAACAAAAGGCTCCTCTGTGATACGGATGGCCTTTTGGTTTCACTCAGTCTCTTTACACGTAAACCCACGCACACTCACAGACACACACAGCTGCAGCAGTTTGACAATGAGCGCAATTGTCCGGGCAAGCGCGCAGTGGCACGGAAACTTGATGTAAACTGATTACGCATCAGGCGCGCGGCTGTTAATCTGAGCTGTTTTGACATAATGCCTTGGCTGATGCTGCTCCTTTACTTACCGGATGCCGTGCCGGGGGGTACATCTTGCTCAGATCTCGAATCATTAAAATGTTTTGCAAAGTTCGTCTGCATAAACAAAAAAACAAATTGTGGGATCAGGGATCTTTCACTGCGCGTAAAAGGTCAGTCACTGGCCGGTTAGCGGGTTAGGTGCAGGTTCCGTAAAAAAAGGAAACATCCTGGGACATTTGGCTGGCTGCCATGCTTTAAGACAGTATTTTTAAAAGTCCATTCAGTGTGAAAATCGAAGCAGCAGTTGTCTCGGTGTTCTCCAAGAATCTCCAGCGCGTTACTGCACGCGCGCAAAGCTTAATTTACGTCTCTCTAAACTCACAACGATTTTCTACTAAGCGTCGACTTTTGACATATCGTGACCTTGCTTGTTCGCGAAACAGCTTCTCCACGGCGTCCCGTGGTCACGCATTTATCGGTTAATTTCCTTCAGCCTCCGTTGATGTTGACATCCTCACACAGCATCGGCGCAGCGACCACCTCACAGACTACAGCCTGCCACCGCGAAGCCAAATTTAGAAGCAACCAGTCGTACGAGCGCAATTACATATTCACAACAATTATATGAGCCCGTAGCGTGACGTCGGGACGTGTAGTTTAATTCATATCAGTCGATAAAAAGCACTACAGATGTGCGTCTGCTGTAAAGAACTACAACTTCCCAGCCATTCCGCGAAGCTCCCTGATCCAATGGTGTGTGGTCTGCAGGAGGAGCGACCACTAAAGACAGCCAATAGAAACATATGAGTGTACATACTGGACTCCACCCTGCTGCCAATCATCTATATGTTGTCCAATCAAACCCAACAGCAGGCAATTTATGCAGACTCCCCACGTGGGGGCTCACTCTAGTACTAAAATATGTCACAGGGATTAATCTGGAAACTATCTGTTGATTTATGATTTTTTATAGAGACTTCCAGGCAGGAGCAAGCATATGGCCCCGAGGTGTCTCATATTTGTCCTGTTTTTAATTGAATCGCCTATTAAAACAGTCTGTTATTATGTCCACAGATTGCACTCACAACCCTGCAATTAAATTCTCATTGAGCTCCCCTCTTAGGTACTTCTGCCTGCTTGGATAGGATGTATACTGTATGATGTAGTCCTAGGGGTAGACCAAATATTGTAAATACCTAATGAACTTACATTTTAATTATTATTAATCCTACAAAGTGCAGTATAAGGACAGCTCAACCCCCCTTTGTCTGAGGATATGTGTTGGAACATATTTTAAGAGGTTTTTTTAGACAAATGCACCAGCAGTTTGGCAGTAGCCTATTTAGGAAAAAGTAAAACCAAAGTGTTACAAATTAAAGTCCTGCATAAAGCATTATCTTATGTTTCTATTGATATATCATGTGTTAATAGATGTTATATATAATGTAAACCGATTTAGCACCTTATTTATTGTTGTTATTTTTGATGTATACAGTTACCTACATTTCTTAATTTCTTATTATTATAATATCTTACACTTAATCTTGTGTTTCATGGTCTCTTATTGCTGAAACCTGAATTTGCCTATGGGGATCAATAAAGGTTAACCTTATATTATCATAAAATACTTATTGTATTTTATGTTGCATTCATAGTCAGAATATGCAAAGAAACTAATAGGCTTAACAAAATGAAATACATGTAGGTGGTGAAGTAAGTAAAATCATTGCCTATGAATTTGCAGAAAATGGAAACATGAACGTCTTGTAAAATGACTTAAAGGAGGATTACAATCATGACATTTGTGTCTGTCTACAGTAAATAAAATAAAAACATATTGGTGAGTACATTTAAATAGTTATTACATTTAAGATGAACTCCTCTTCTTCTCTCCCAGAGACACAAATCCGTCATCACTGAGTGAATACAGCATGACAGCAGACATTCTCAGCAGTGAGTAGATGTTTAGTGTGGGAAGAGGAAACACGCTGTTGCTGGGTCAGCATCTCGCTTAACCACTGCGTTCAGTCATTTAGCTGCACTAACTGACTGTGTCGAAAATCAAAATCTTCTTCTAGCGCATAACGCTTCATATTTCTTCTCTCTTTCTTCTCTCTTTCTCTGAATTTATTATCACCTCTCATGACTTTGGATCAGATCTCTTATCATTTGGTTGCCTAATTGTGTCTCAAAGCTTCCGCTTTAACAGGATAAAGGAAAACTTCTATCATTGTTTCATCATTTTTTTTTCATGCTCAAACACACGAGCGTACAAATGGTTATCCACAATATGACACCACATCAATCCTCGGTATGTCTGCCTCTGTCTCTCTGTCTTTCCTGTTGTCTCTGCCTCTCCCTCATACATACACAGGATTGTGCACACATACACACGGCCTCAGCCATTCAAATACACATCTCTTTTTACCACACATACAAACTAATATCTCAGGTAAGCACAGGGCCTAAAGTGACCTGCTGTCGTCTGCGTGAATCCACTAAGGCTCGAGAAAGGTAATATCATGCCCTCCCTCTTTCCCCTCCAAGGGTTGAGGCGTGATGTGGTGAGGTGAGGAGGGGGGTAGGTGAAGAGGAATAAACAGATTTATTTGCCTGCACCCCTCTCTGATTATTTTGCCCCTGCCTTTTGTTCCAGACCTTATGAAACCCAAATGTCAAGTGAGGCGAGGGCCTCATATCGAGCCCTGTCAATCACACCCCTCTGTGCACCTGAAGCCCTGACGCCGGATTATTGGCTTCAACACAAGGGCTGCCTTAGCCGCCAGCCACGCTGCCTCAGGCGATTCCACAGCAAGTTTTTTTCTAAAGAGGAACTTCATTTGGCAGCTGATGCGCAGGAGATTGCACGGGAGCGGATTTTGAGGGTAGATGGTATTGCAGGCTGGGTGCGTGTATGTGTGTGTATTATGTGGGAGACCGAATGGTTTATCGAGGACGGGGGATTAAGGGAGAAGAGGTGTGGGCTTGAGTTGGGGAGTGGGTGACGAGAAACCTCGGCCTCAACACATTGCTCAGTGCACTGATCCCGACTAGCTATCATCACCTGTACATATGTCTCTTAATCTCTCCCTATCCAGTCCTCCCTCCTTTTACTCTCACAGACTCTCTCTCTCTCACATACACACACATTCAAAATATATTAAAAAAGATAAAACAGGCCACTGACATCTTTCTCTGACAATGACCCTGCAATCTGGTGTGTGTGTGTGTGTGTGTGTGTGTGTGTGTGTGTGTGTGTGTGTGTGTGTGTGTGTGTGTGTGTGTGTGTGTGTGTGTGTGTGTGTGTGTGTGTGTGTGTGTGTGTGTGTGTGTGTGTGTTGGGGTTAAATGTCTAACTAATCATACTTCAGTAAGCACTAACCACTGGTCCATGTTCTTAAATCTCCTGTCCTTACAGCGAGCTGCGTCTAAATCCCACATGCTCGCCCCTTTAACACATCATTAATCCCCGGTGGCCCCCCCTTTGAACAGGGAGCTCGTGTGAAGGGATAACCAGGCCTCCTCAGACACAGAGACGGAGAGGCGGAGGCAGAGTTGGATTTACTCCACTACCAGCAGGTTAATCCTGCCCCCACACTGAGTGAACGGAGGGAGGCGTTGTGTGTGTGTGTGTGTGTGTGTGTGTGTGTGTGTGTGTGTGTGTGTGTGTGTGTGTGTGTGTGTGTGTGTGTGTGTGTGTGTGTGTGTGTGTGTGTTTTATTGGCGACGGTTAAGAATCGGCTCCATCGCAGTAACGACTCTGGGGGAACATCAGCATCTGGTGCTCAAAGTCATCCAGACCCCCAAAAGGAGCATGCAGATTGCTGCCATTTCTTTATTAGATTATAAATGGATAGAAGCAAGTGTTTGTGCTGATAAAAACCGAAGTAGCACACAGCAACCAGAACACAAACGGGCCGAGACACTGAAGACAGAAAGAGGGAGATAGTCCTAGAAGAAGCTCAATTAATTAACAGGCAAGCAGTGATGCGAGAGTGAATGAAAAAAAGGAATCCCAAGGGCCTAAGTAATGCAGCGAGCTAATCATGACACCAGTTTGTGGCAGACATTGTACTCGTAAGTCGTAATTTAATTATGAACGGATATAAGGGCATTCATTTTGCTAAGGTAAAGTATTTGTTAACAATTAGAACTTCTTCTATGAAGACAAATTGTATACTCAATGTGTTTATGTATGAGCCTCCATATATCCCACAGGAGGAGTTTGAGAATCCCAATACATTGAAAAAAACATATCTGCTTACTATTACATAATATTGTATCATGAACAATATACTAGTGTATGTACTTTTGTAATTGCTAGAAAGGCAAACAAATCAGGAGGCAGTCTGTTGTGCTGAAAAATTAAGCAAATGCAAAAGTGCCCCTCGAGGCTGGCTCCAAAAGCGAGTCGCTTAACAGCAAAAATAAATATGCATGGAGAAAAACGAGAGGCTTCTATCCTCAATTCCCTGTCCTTTACAACTACGGGGATGAATGAGGGTTATACATAACTAAGGGTGTGGCCACTTTGTGTGACGGGTGCCGTCACAGGTTGCTAGATGCTAGCTGTCTTTTCTGCTTGGTAACTCGGGCCAACCTAAACTATAGGCGCTTTCACACCATTACTTTTCCCAGGAATAGTCCCCGGAACTTTTATTTACTGGAACTATCTAGTAAATCGCGTTCACACCGAAATAAGTCCCCGAGGGAGCCGCTGACGTCACTTCTTCTTCTTCTGCTTTGGGTTTACTGGCAGGCCGCAAACAACTTCACGGCGTATACTGCCACCCAAAGACCCCGGCCGGAAGTCCCCGGAGTTGGAGTAGAGTTGGGGTAGAAGCAGGGGCGGACTGGGGGGGGGCCCTGGGATTATTTGACAGACAGGCCCACTTAATGCGCGGCATGTATCGGCCGGCCGGCGATGAAAGTATGTTACTTAACAAAAAAACCTATGCATTTAATGTTATTTTGGACCATTATTCATATAGTAATCACAATACCTGAGCCCTTAAGTTGCCTAGACCAAAATAGTTACAGCATATATTTAGTGATTTTAATGTTAACAGATCATTGATGCAATAACATTTGGACCCAATTTGCCTGACTTGACACATGGAATAAAACATGGGCGTAGGAAGCATCCTTAAAGTGGGTGAGACAATTTGACAGGGGGTGTGGGCAGGTGGTGGACCTCACCTCCTTTAGGGGGGTCCGGGGGCATGCTCCCCCAGGAAGATTTTTTTTTAAATGTTGAAGTTAAAAGCATCAACCTGTGGCACTTTGAGAGCAAAATTAGGGACCAGATCTTTGGATACATCTCTCAACACCCATATGAACAGCACTGTAAACAGATTCACTTTTTCTTTCAACATTTATTTGAGGCAAGCGGAGGCAAAAGTGACTGCACCCAAAACAATAAACCTGCTAGCTAACTAGCCTAAACTCAGTAACAGAATGTGGGCAACACGTTCTCCTCCACAGCCGCGCGACCTCTGAGTCAGACGTCACTTCCCCCTCTTCTATCCAACGGGTACAGCCACTCCCCCTGAACCCCGTTTCCCTGCCTCTCTCCGTTGGTGCGCTGGGCTATGCTATTCTTGGGAAATGTACTCCGGTGTGAAAGCGCCTTATGATGACGATCCACTTCTTA